TACCCACTTTGTGATCACTCCAGCCCCATTGTGGAAAATATTTTTTTAATTCCTCTATCATCTTTTTCATTGTTTACATGAAATAATGTAATAGATTTCTGTGCTGATTTTGTAGCCTGTCATGTGAATGTACGGATTTACTATTTTAGGTTTTTTTTTTTTAAAGAGTCTAGAGTTGTCTTAGTATCACTTCATCTGCAAAAAGTAATAGTTTGGCTTCTTTAATGAATCTGGATGCTCTTAATACCTCTTTCTTGTCTAATTTCTATGACAAGTACAAAACCCTACCAATAACTGTTTTATAAACTATGGTGCCACAATAAGTTCAAAAATTTTTAAAAAAATTACAGGAATCTCTCCTTGATGACTTCAGCTCTTTCACACAGATTAAATCTCATCTCTTTCTGTGCTACTTTTGTTTCTACCTCTATCATTCAACATGTAATTATCTGATCATATATTTTTTTCACTATGTAGTAAATTTTATAAAAGCAGGAACTTGGTGAGGAGTAGGAGAACAATACATACTGAGGTAATAAATGTACCTTAGCAGAAAGAAATGAAACAGGCATAATGAGAATAAATGAAGAAATGAAAGACAAGAAAAATTAGCAAAATAATGTGAGATAAAGGGAAAAAAACCCAAGGAATACATGCTTCAAAAAAGAAGTACATTTTAAATAGTTTAAACTATTCAGTCTGAATGGAGGCTAGTAAGTCAATGGTTCAGTGGCTGAACCCCCTATGAAAGCAGGCCACGAGCCATGCGAGAGTGAGGGCATACACGCACTGGGGCTGCACTGCTGGGCTCCTGGCCTGGTGCCACACGCTCAGGCCAGGTGAGCTCTGTGACCTTAGGCCAATACCTGATTTCTGTTAGGTAACAGCAGTTTTTCCATATGTAAAGTAGAAGTAATGACAATACTTACTCTCAGTGAGTTGATGTGAGAATGAAATTATTAATATATGTAAATTACTTATCAGAAATTTCTTGCAAAGAAAGCAGAAAGTACTACTGACCATTCCTTTGACAACACTGGAAGTGGAGAGTCTGGGCTCAACTGGAAGATTGATCTCCAGTAGTGGGCCATTAGCAAGCTGGTTTTCTGTCCACTGCAGGAACCAAGGTTATTCCTAGACAACCTTACCAGCTAGCTGTCAGGGTGTGCTGTGGGTTGGCGGCGTTTTGGCTATGAGCAGCAGTATTCGCTCCTTCACTGGGCTGAGTCCTGACAGACACCTCTGCCACGGTGCTCACTCCTCTACTGGCTAGATGCGCGTGTGCGCATGCACACACACACAAGCGCGCGCATGTATGCACACGCACTGTGGGAACCCAAAAGGACATGATGCTGTAGGGCAGCCCCCAACTGGGAAAGAGCTCCAGCTGACACTTGGACAAACGTGTCCTTGGAGGCCAAGTCAAAATGTTCTCAGGATCCCACACACACCCGGGACAGAGTGTTTCAATCTTGATCGAACCTCAAGCATGCAAATACATGATAGTCTGGGACAGCAGCTGTGAGGATAATCCCCGCAAGAACATCAAACGCTATTAACAAATCACTGAAACTGGGCGGGGTTAGGGGAATGAGAGAGAAACAGAAGATAAACTTTGCCAAGGTGCTCTCGTTGGTCTCCTGAAGATTTTCTTGAGTGCCAGGATGCTCCAGGTGCCTCAATCCCCTCAGAGGACCTACAGATACACCCACACCAGAAATGCTGAAGATGGAGGAGTCACGAGGACTCTGCATCACAGCATGGTGGGGAAATGTTTGTTAATTAGGAACTCTGGACTGTGGAAGCAAAGAATTAGAGTTCACTGAATTGAAATGTCAGTGTTTATGTCAGTGTTTAACTCTGTAACAGCTGTTCACACCTAATTGATTTTCTTATTTGTAAAGCGGGAATGATATGCTGAGATTTAGACTGCATGGTTCATGAGACAGTAAACTATTAAAATATTATATGTTATCATAAGTTAATCACAGTAAGTTCAAATTCAGTTGTCTGCTCTCAAAATTTTTACCTTTCCAGGGGGCTGGAGCAATAGTACTGCAGGTAAGACATTTGCCTTGCAAGCAGTCGACCAGGGTCCAATTCCCAGCATTCCATATGGTTCCCCGAGCACTGCCAGGAGTAATTCCTGAGTGCATGAGCCAGGAGTAACCCCTGTGCATTGCCAGGTGTGACCCAAAAAGAAAAAATATTTTTTTACCTCTCCCTTTGAAAACTTCAAGCTTCATTTTTTAATTTTTATTTTTAAAAATTTTATTGAATCACCGTGAGATAGTTACAAACTTTCACGTTTGGGTTACAATCACACAATGATCAAACACCCATCCCTCCACCAGTGCTCATTCCCCACCACCAATATCCCCGGGATACCTTCTTTTTCCCACCCTCCCCCTGCCTCCATGGCAGACATGATTCCCCATAATCTCTTTCTACTTTTAGGCATTATGGTTTGCAATACAGACCCTGAGAGGTTATCATGTTTGGTCCCTTATCTACTTTCTGCACACATCTCCCATCCCGACCGATTCCTCCAGCCATCTTTTCCTTAGTGATCCCTTCTCTATTCCAGCTGCCTTCTCCCCTTTGCTCATGAAGTAGGCTTCCAGCTATGGAGCAATCTATCTGTCCTGTGTATCTACAATCCCTAGGTGTCATCCTCATGTTATGTTGTTTTATACTCCACAAATGAGTGCAGTTCTTCTGCCTGTTCCTCTATTTTGACTCATTTCACTTAGCATGATACTCTCCATGTCTATCCATTTATAAGCAAAGTTCATGACTTCATCTCTCCTGACAGCTGCATAGTATTCCATTGTGTAGATGTACCAAAGTTTCTTTAACCAGTCATCTGTTCTAGGGCACTTGGGTGGTTTCCAGATTTTGGCTATTGTGAACAGTGCTGCAATGAACATATAGGTACAGACATCATTTCTACTGTGCTTTTTTGCATCCTCGGGATATATTCCCAGAAGTGGTATTGTGGGGTCATAAGGAAGCTCAATTTCTAGTTTTTGAAGGACTGTCCATACTGTTTTCCAGAAAGCTGGACTAGTGGGCATTCCCACCAACAGTGAAAGAGCGTCCCTTTTCCCCACATCTATGCCAGCACTGATTGCTTATGTTCTTTTGAATGTGTGCCAGTCTGTGGTGTCAGATGATATCTCATTTTTGTTTTGATTTGCATCTCCCTGATGGCTAGCAATGTGGAGCATTTTTTCATGTGCCTTTTGGCCATTTGTATTTCTTTTTTGAGGAAACTTCTGTTCATTTGTTCTCCCCATTTTTTGATGGGGTTGTAGGTTTTTCACTTGTACAATTCTACTAGTGTCTTGTATATCATGGATATTAATCCCTTATCAGATGGGTATTGGGTAAAAATTCTTTCCCATTAAGTGGGCTCTTTCTGTATTTTGGCCACTGTTTCTTTTTGAAGTGCAGAAGCTTCTTAGTTTGATGTAGTCCCATTTGTTTATGTTTGCTTCCACTTGCAAGGTTGGTGCTGTTTCATCCTTCAATGTCATGGAGAGTTGTGACTACATTTTCCTCTTGTGTACCTTATAGATTCATGTTTGATATAGAGGTCTTTAATCTACTTAGGTATGACTTTTTGTCCCTGGCATTAGACGGAGTTCAGAGTTCATTTTTCTGCAGGTAGCTATCCAGTTTTCCCAGCACCACTTGTTGAAGAGGCTTTCCTTGTTCCACTTCACATTTCTTACTCCTTTGTCAAAGATTAACTGGTCATATATTTGGGGTTCTATGACAGAATATTCAACTCTGTCCCATTGTTCTGCAGGTCTGTTTCTAGCCCAGTACCATGCTGTCTTAATTACCACTGCAGTACAGTTTGAAGTTGGGGAAAGTGATGCCACCCATCTTCTTTTTCCCAAGAATTGTTTTAGCTATTTGTGGGGTTTCATTGTTCCATATGAATTTCAGGAGTGTTTTGTCTATTTCTTTGAAAAATGTCACGGGTATTCTGATAGGGACCATACTGAATCTGTATAATGCTTTGGGCAGTATTGCCATTTTGATAATTTTAATACTCCCTTTCCATGATCAGGGGATGTGTCTCCATTTCCTAGTGTCCTCCTTTATTTCTTGAAGTAGTGTTTTGTAATTTTCCTTGTATAGGTCCTTCACCTCTTTGGTTAAGCTGATTCCGAGGTACTTGATTTTCTGAGGTACTATTGAAAACTCAAAGCTTTATTGCTTAGGAAATGACACTTCAATCCCATGCCAATATTTCCCTTGCACACCACAAAAATAATTTAGCATCATTTAAAATGCCTTGTTTTATGTATCCTTTGAAAAAATCTATGTAACTATAGGGAAATAGTTTTTATCTCAGATTAAAAAAAAACAAAGATCATTGCTGTGCCATCTCCCACATCCTGTCACATTTTTGAGCTTCTGACTGACTATATCCACTTGCATAAAGTAAAGTAAAAGTAAAGGCCCTCCCATTGATCATTGATTTGCTCGAGCGGGCCCAGTAACGTCTCCATTGGAGACTTTGTTGTTACTGTGTCTGGCATATCGAATACGTCACGGGGAGCTTGCCAGGCCCTCCCGTGCGGGCGAGATACTCTCGGTAGCTTGCTGGGCTCTCCAAGAGGGGCGGAGGAATCTAGCTCAGGTCGGCCATGTTGGCTGCGTGCAAGGCAAACGCCCTACCACTGTGCTATCGCTCCAGCCCTTGTCAATGCACTCAGCAACTAGAAAGAAAGGTTTGTTATTACTGAATGGGTGGAGCAAGTTTAATTCAATTATACTCCATGGTTATAAATCAGACTTCTACTTTCAAATTCTTATTTCTGGAAGAACATAAAGCAGAGTGAGAAACAGCAGAAAATTATTAGCAAAGCTGAACCACTCCTGCACAATTGATGGAATAATAGCACCAACGTTGACCCGCTGTGATTTATCCTTTAATAGAGTTTAATAGGACCATCTGTCATAGATGAAAATGAAAGCTTTACCTCACCATGTTCAAGGAGATGTTTTCTGAAATAAAAACAAAAATATGTCCTATTTACTGAATATACATTGCACTAAAATTACATACAAAGAAACACTGATTTGTTCTTAGATTTTAAATTTTGATTCTAAATTGTGGGTATACAATAAGAGAGAGAGAGAGAATAAAAGGGAATGCCCTGCCACAGAGGCAGGGTGGATGGGGGGGATGGGCGGTGGGAGGGATACTGGGATCCGTGATGATGGGAAATGGGCACTGGTGGAGGGATGGGTATTTGATCATTGTATAATTGAGACCCAAGCACAAAAATTTGTAAGTCTGCAACTGTACTTCACAATGTCTCACTAACAACAACAACAAAAAAAAACTAAAAAAAAAGGCCCTCCCATTGATCATTGATTTGCTCGAGCGGGCCCAGTAATGTCTCCATTGGAGACTTTGTTGTTACTGTGTTTGTCATATCAAATACGTCACGGGGAGCTTGCCAGGCTCTGCCGTGCAGGCGAGATACTCTCGGTAGCTTGCCGGGCTCTCCGAGAGGGGCGGAGGAATCGAACTCGGGTCGGCCATGTTGGCTGCATGCAAGGCAAACGCCTTACCTCTGTGCTATCGCTCTCACCCCTAAAAAAAAAAATTCACACAAAAAATTGTGGGTATAACTTGGCATCATTTATGAGCATGAAAATTATTAGATGTTTCTAAAATTCCTGTCAGTTTAAAGAGAATGATTAACACCTTTGCATATACTAGATCATGTTTATTAAAAAAAATCCATTCTTTAGATGAAATAAGTTTTACTGGTGACTGTAGGTTGCACTTCTAGAAGTACAAATAAAAAATTATATTAAATTCTCTATCATTTACATAATATTCAATAAGGTAGTCAATGAAGTATGTGCCATATACAAACTTAATCACTATTTGCTCAATAAAAATTAAAAGCAATAAAATACATCAATACACATACTTCACTGTCATTGTCACTGTCCTCCCATTGTTCATCAATTTGTTCGAGCAGGCCCAGTAACGTCTCCATAGTGAAACTTGTTGTTACTGTGTTTGGAATACTGAATGCATCACGGGTAGCTTGCCATGCTTTGCTGTGTGGGCAAGATAATCTCAGTAGCTTGCTGGGCTGTCTGAGAGGGACGGAGGAATTGAACACGGCTCGGCCGGCTGGCTGCACGCAATAGTTGTGCTGTGCTGGAGTGATAGGGAGGTAGGGCATTTGCCTTGTGCACAACTGGCCTGGCCGACCCGGGTTCGATTCCTCCGCCCCTTTCGGACAGCCCGGCAAGCTACCAAGAGTATCTTGCCCGCACAGCAAAACCTGGAAAGCTACCCATAATGCATTCAATATGCCAAACACAGTAACAACAAGTGTCACAATGGAGATGTTACTGGGCCCACTGGAGCAAAAACACGTACTTAGTCCTCAATAAACATTTTACATTTATTAACTTTAAAAGTGTAATGATTGCAATTTTGGTCAGATGTTTACAACAGTGTTAACATACAATAGAAAATACCTCACTATCCTCTTCTTAAAAATTATATGGATCTATATACATCAAGGGCTGGAGCGACAGTACAGCGGATAGGGCGTTTGCCTTGCACGCAGCCAACATGGCTGACCAAGTTCGATTCCTCCGCCCCTCTTGGAGAGCCCGGCAAGCTACCAAGAGTATCTCATCTGCACGGCAAAACCTGGCAAGCTACCCGTGACGTATCTGATATGCCAAAACCAGTAACAAGTCTCACAATGTTACTCGGCCCGCTTGAGCAAATAGATGAACAATGGGAAGACAAGGACAGTGACAGTGATATACATCAAAACAGTATCATTTCTTTTTTTGTACTGTGGGCCACACCCAGGGGTGCTCAGGGATCACCCCTGTGGTACTTGGATGATCATTTTCAGTGCCAAGAATGAAATTAGGTTTGCTGCATGGAAGGCAAGTGTCGACCCCTGCACTACCCCCACAGCCCTAATTATGTATGATTTAAAATAAGAGGATAGAGCACAATATACTATAAATTATATACCTATCTATGAATATGAATGCATATTGTTCATCCGAGTCAACCCCGGGTGGGCTTTTGTGTGCTAGAGGCTTGCTCACAGACGACTCCAGCAGATCTTGTCCCAGGACCTCCACAAGTTCCACACAGCCTCGGAACTCTTTTGCTTTCAGTGGATTTCTGTCAAGAATGCTGCAGAGAACCACGACTGCTTTTGCCACTGCCATCAACAGCCACTGCGGCTGCAGCACACCCAGAAAGAACACGTGGCTGGCTGTCCCCACCCTGGACCTATGCTGCTGTGCATATGAAGTGAGAGACACAACAGCGCCTGAACACTTCACTGTGGGGGCTCAGGACTCAGGGATGAAACCAATACTGCTCTCCTAGGTGGAGCTCAGGGCCCAGAACCCAGAGCTGTACACTAAACCTCAGTTCATAACCACTAATTTAACATTCCTATCTGACAAATCATTGCCACTCTAGGGTAGCCTGTGCCTTTGATTTTGGAGGCTCTATAACCACCAAATTCTTATGCTAGCCAGAGCAATCAGACCCTTGATTAATCTCCACTGTGTGAATGTCAAAGACCCAGGCCCCGGCAGTGTATTGTATTATATGCATGAGACAACAGTACCTCTACCACAAGAGTGTCCAAAAACCAGAACCACTCGTTGACCAATAAAAGAAACACGGATCAGGTGTTTCCAGGAGAGTCATCACAGAGGACTCCAACAAACCTCAACACTGCTATGATCATGGAGATCCCAGTAATCTTCACCTGTAATTACCTCAGATGAGAAGCCTGCATAAACACCACTGGAAATGGTACATCTCAGCTGGCTAACATCCTCACACCCACTTTCAGGTAAAGCAGTCTCCTCACAGACCCAGGCCACAAAGCCTAGAATAGGTCATTGCTCCATCAAATGTGGACATAACTGCTAGGGAATTGAATATAAGCATTTTAAGGAGGTTCAGCAAATTGCAGTGAACACGAATAACTCAACAAAAATTTTAAAAAATACATATATAAAACTAGAAGTTCAACAGTGAGATAAAATTTGTTTTAAAAAATTTTAAGAGCAAGTCCAGTCTTTTATTTAACCACAGAAGCACCGTAGAACTGTCCTCCCGTTTTTCGTCGATTTGCTTGAGAGGGCACCAGTAACGTCTCACAACAAATTGTGAGACCTGTTGTTTCTGTTTTTGCATATGGAATATGTCCTGGGGAGCTTGTCAGGCTTTTCCGTGCGGGCAAGATACTCTTGGTAGCTTGCCAGGCTCTCTGAGAGGGGCGGAGCAATGGTACCAGGGTTTGCCGCATGCAAGGCAAATGCTCTACACACTGTGCTATCGCTCCAGCCCAAAATATTTATCAATATTAAATATTTTGACACCTAAGCAAGACTTTATTTAATATTAATCTATATCCAAGCTTTACCAACCATAGCAATTATGTTCTTTACAGTTTCTTGAGCCGAATCCAACCTAGAATCATACACTGCATTTAACTGACCTTTTCTTTTTAGTCTCCTTTGATCTAGAACTGTTTTCAATTTTTTTTCTTTTTTGACACTAATATTTAAAAACACATATAGAGAAATATCTTTAAATTGGATACATTTGATTATTTCCTCAAGGTTAGATTTATGCAATGCAGTTTCACAGTTTAAGAAGAGAACTCCCAGAATGACCACCAACTGGGAGCTCTTTGGCACGATTACTGCAACATGAGAAGATAACATCGTTGACGACATTAACAAAGAATACGATAGGCTGGTTTAGCATCTCCAAGATTGTGCAAGGAAAGCCATAAAAAGACATCAGTCTTTGGAAACTCTAGAGCTTATTCACCAATGTGGCTTGGCGCAAGCCTCAGGAAATCACAAGCTAATGTGCGAGTTTGCAAAGCAGTGCAGAGAAGAGATAAAGAAAGACTTCAAAGAGAAAACAGCAGTGCTGGCCGATACGGCAGAAACTGGGAAAAGCATTTGCAATGTCCGCCTGTCCTTCGCCAACTACAAGACCAAGAGGACAGCCCTCCGACATCCTGAAGGATCTATCACATCATCCAGAAGGGCAATGGAGAAGATTGTCCACGACTTCTACTCAGATCTCGTTGGTATCCAGGTCCACCTGCCCACATACCAAATTCTGCAGGATGGAGAACATTCCTAACATTCTCCCTTCCGAAATCCGACACACCAATTCATTGGTAAAGAAGAGAACAGCACCCGGCCCAGACAAAGTCAGACCTGAACAACTGAAGAATCTGCCATCAGTACTCGTCAATACACTGGCTTGGCTCTTCACATGCTACCTGTCTGAATGCAAGATTCTGTCCCAATGGAAAACCAGCAGGACCGTTCTACTGTACAAGAAGGGAGACATCCACGACATTGGCAACTATTGCCTGATATGCCTGTTGTCCATTGTCTACAAGCTTTCATTCGAGTCATACTGAATAGGATTGACAGAACACTAGATGAAGGACAACCATGCGAGCAAGTTGGTTTCCGAAAAGAATTCAGCACGATTGACCATATCCATACACAGTGACCAAGCTCTTTGAGGTTTCTCAAGAGTTCAAGATGCTCCTCTAACGTTCATTGATTTAAAAAAGATCTTTGATTCTGTTGAGACTGAAGTGGTCATCAAAGCCCTAGTCAATCAGGGCCTTCAAACTCAGTATATCAGGATCCTGTGTGAGCTGTATTACAGATTCACCACCAGGATCTCACCATTCTACAATGAAGCGATCAACGATGTAAAGAGAGTGGTTCGGCAGGGTGATACCATTTCACGAAAAGTCTTCAGTGCCACCCTCAAGAATGTCATGTGATGACTGGAATGGGAAGGAATGGGAGTGAAGATGGGAGTGAAGCAGGACGGTTGAAAACTATACCACCTCCACTTTGCTGATGACATCGTTCTAATAACACCAAACATTAGCCACGCAACACAAATGCTGGCCGACTTCGACCATGAGTGTGGAAATGTC